ATCATTAGGTCATCCCAGCTTCTTCAATAACTTTGTGTTAGTGTGTACAAGCTAATTGTGTATGTACTCAGTCCCGAGAGAAAGCTTAATGGACTTGATGATTCCCAGTTCTCTTTAGCAGCACCATCAGATACAATATTTCTTCTGAGACTCTTAGTTTTGAAACCTTTTTAAACTACAAAACAACATAATATTTTTTGTGTTTGCTATTTGTTATTTAAAATATTTGCATCAAATGCCTTGTCCAGTCAGAACCATCAAAAACTGCAGAATCTACAGTAAATTCTGTTCTCAACAAACTTGTGGTTTTTATTTCTCAGAGGAGTCAACTTCAGTGAACTAAATCATCTTTTCACACCAATGTGACCTATTTGTCAACACTCTGCCACCTTCACTACGTCCATGGAGTTTCTTTGTGGTTACCATCTTTTTCACTTCCCTTCTAGACATATAAACATTTTTTTATACGATCTATCCTCTATCCATTCCAGCACACCATCCTCAAGGACTGGAGCTGAATATTCCTGTACTACATGTGTAAATTTGATTATAAAATTCTGAATACCGTACAGGATAGATGGCCGAACTTGTAAGTGTGTATGAGTTTTGTGTGTTGATTTCCATCTGGCTTTTCTCACCCATTGTCTAATGAAAGATTGTGAACTTGGCTTTTTACAGTCAGTTATGTAATTCATTGTTCCTCTAAATATTGTCATTGCTGCTTCCATGTTGCTCATGTATGAAACTTTGGAAACCCCATCAGTAGAATCACCTTTAGGAATTGTTGAAATTGCTGATGTTGCTCCTGACCCTCTTCTTCAGCTACCTCTCCACCTCTGCTGAGATCATGCTGGCGAGGCTTCAGAAGGAACCGGTGCTCTGAAACCCTGCGGGGTCACAGCAGCTGAACCCATCCCCAGTGGAGACAGCGTGAGACAGAGGGGGGATGAGAGTCGACTGACTTGCTGCCTAAAAAAGTCTAATCTTATAAGAAGGCTGCTGCCTGCTGACTGGGAAGCGCTGGGACGCCAAATACAACTTTAAAAGCTTTTCTTTTGCACTCCACATCCCTTTATCACAGTCAGGCCATGTGCTGCAAGCTGAAAGGGGGACGCAGCAGAAGACTGCCTAGAAGGGGAACCCGGTGGAATCTCGAGACAGAAAAATAAATAAGCCTTAGTGTGCATTTATGCAGCACGTTTCTTTTCTTTCAGTGTTTTTGTCAAATAAAACAACACTAAATATTTAATGTTATGTATTTCCTCTGGTATAATGCAGCTTTTGTTTTTACATGCTTTCCCTCCACCGTTAATATTAAAGGCTGCTGCGGCAGAAATAACTAAAGTGATGCATTGTGTGGGCTGGTCGGTGGTGGAGCGGGTGAAATAACTCTCAGAGAGGGTCATGCAGACACAAAAACATTTGCAGTGTACACAGCAAACACTCTGAAGAAATGACACTGACCTGTTTAAGTGAAGCATGCATCTGCTGGTGGGGTAGATCAGCTCCAGAATCTGTCTTGCGTACGTTAGGAAATATTCATGAACTGAATTTACATATATTCACAGAAACAAACTGAACTAACAATGAAGCACGTAAACAAGTCTAGCTGTTAGTCTGCTGGATCCTTCATTGCTTTTTTCTGGCTAATATAAAATTTGTAGTGAAAAAGAAACAATGATGTAGGTGGAGTCACTTTCTGTAAACTTGCATAAAGAATTGTCATCTCAACAGGAAGTAATAAATAAGTATGAAAAAATGTAGCTACTTGAAAATTTTATTTACAAATGTTTAATGCCATTTTTTTTTTTTTTGCATTTTATACATTGTTTTCTTTTCAGATAGATAAAGAATAGGGGATATTGCTTATATGTTTGGCAATAAATTAAATCTATTATTTCTCATGGTGGAAAGAGATTAAAATCTTTATAATTGAGAAATCCTGATTAATCCTATTTGGGTTTTTTGTTTTTTTATCAACGTTTCACAATGATTATGAAAACAATGGGATTTTTCTTTAATCTTTAATGTTTCTTCGATAAGTTAAGCAGGACATAGTGGTTATAGTTTTATAATGTGGTTAATTCAAACATGCAGATCCAGATACCATTACCTATGTTTTATCACATAAAGTAAACCAGGAGCTTTTCACTACATATTCAAACGATGTTGGGTAGCAATGTTACTTTGTGAAATAATGCTTTTCTTTAAAGCAATTTATAAAATCACAGTCATTACAGTCATTGATGAGCACTCAACTAACATCAGTTAAATATTAATATTGATTCTCGTCAACGTACAATTTGGACTTATTGTTATATTTAGATCATTCCATGTTACCATGAATGAAATAATTCAACAATACTTAATGCATGAGGATGGAACATGTGTTTGTCTCAATGTGTGCTGGACTGTCAGTTTGGATTTTGGGCTGCCCCCTGTCTTGGATCATCTTGGACTCCCTACCAAATGTGGGACCTACGTCCCTATCACACTTCCTCTGTCTGCTGTTGCTTTGGTAACTCTGACTGTCTGAGACTGGGTGGTTCAGTGTGACATATTGTCTGTGTTTTTTGGATATTCACTTAGAGTATTGACTGATTGCCAGATGCTCTGGTACCTGCCTGTAACACCATTCCTGTGTTTGTATTGCTGCTATGTATGCTCTCTGGGACCACTTCTAGATCTACCACCTGCTTGCAGATTCCGTCATTTACCAACACCATCACTGGTCTGCATGTGGACCAAATTTAATCAAATTCTAACTATTCCAAATTGTTTCTTATTTGGTGCATGACTGGTTTTGACAGTAAGTGTAGTTTACTGTAATAAATCGACTTGGCAGTTTAGAGGATTTTTTTTTAAGCACATTAAAACTGTGGCTGGTTTCAAAAGACTGGGCTGTGAGGTGACCATAACTACTATCAATGAACTAACTGGGAAGGTTTTGATTGAAGATTAGTTGTTTGTTTTTTTTGGGGGGGCGAGAGGGTTATATGCTAGAAATGTTGCCTTCCCTGGCTTTACGTATCACAGTAGAAACATCACCGTTATAAAAAGTATATGTCTTCTCAGTAAATACCAGCTATTTTGGGGTTTTTTGCCTCTAATAGGGTTCCTCATTATACACTCACCTTTACAAAACTGAAATTACACTGAAGACATGACTGAGAGTCATAGTAATGTCTTAAGGCTAAGGACGCAAACTGCCTTTACTTTGATGCAATAGATTTAAAAAATCTCTTCAGTGTCCTTTTCTCATCCTAAACTTCAAAATCCTGGTGGTGTATCAAAATTATCCATAAAATGTTTTTAAATAAATGCCTATATCCACATATCATATCCACAGAAAACAGGTCATACAAATGACACAGGGTTCAGATGTTGGAATCAATGGATATGTGAGGGGATCCACATGCTTTTAAATTCTAGGCATGATATTATGTTCATTATACACACGGGAAAACAATCAAATAAAACAAGTAGGCGGTGTTGCTATTGGATTTGCAAAGTGAAAATTGAATTCAAAATATAATTTCTTTAGTACCAGTGAAAATGTACACATTGTTAGATATATTGCCTTGTCTAATCCACACACCCATAGAGAGTTTTCTTGAGATTGATTCTGTTAGAATATTTAACTTCCAGCTGTGTGTGAGAGGATCTTTGTTAGCACAGCTGCTACAGAAAGGATGGCAGAACAATAAATCAAACTGTCTCTCCTGGAGCTTTTTATTCACTGCTGAATAATCTGAAGTTTTAACATAACACAGTGATGTTGGGAGGAGACTCTTCAGCAGTCTGACATAAGGTGATAGAGGTTGTGGTTGTGAATCCTCCTGAACATATCCTGTATAGGTTAGCCGTCAATCATAGGGAAATCAAGCCTGAATGAATAACTGTTCAGTGTCCTACCATCACACGGTGCTAAGGTCAGGGTTAAATTTGACTCACAATGGTTTTCTGGAGCACAACTTTTTGTATAATTATTTTTCCCAAACACTTACAATATAAAAAACCATGTAGGTTGCTGGTAAATTTCCTTTGGAAAAATATACTACACTTATTTCCCACAGACATCAACCCTTGTAGGACTCCAACTGTCCAAATTGCATTTATTTATTTTATGTCAAATACATGCTGAGGCACTGATGACTGTCAGACACTTTCATAGATATATATTGAAATATTACTAGTCTGCACATGCACCAAGGAACTGTATGTTGTCTGTATGTTGTCTCAAAACTTCAGAAGATGTTGAACTTTTCTTGACTGTGAGTGTAATTTAAGGTTCATCATCTCTCTTCTATACTTGTGAACTTATCCCGTCCCTTGAAATTTGGAAATTTGTTTAAAAAGAATAGCAATCATTTTCTTCCAGGCACAAAGTTTATCTTTTTTTGGGGGGGATTGACAAGTTACACCGCTAGTTTGGGAAAGTTGTATTTTTTGTGGGAATGAAAATAATATAAATATTTTCAAAGCTGAAAAGAAAGTTTTGTTTCTAAGAATTTCAGGACTTATGTTAAGAGCTTAACTGCAGAGCCTTGGAGAGAAATTTTCCCACTTTACCAACTTTTGACTTCCACATCAACTCATATGTCAAAATTCAGATTCAAACTACAATGTTCAAGGCAGGTTCTGGGTCTGGGAGCCACTTTTCATATGGTTAATGTGACGGATATGTTCAAGAACACTTGATAGAAGACAGTTCATTAAGTCAACCCTTTTCTGACTACTACAGAAAAAAGCTCAGTGCCTCCAAATCATCCTCCATACAACTGTGTTTTTTTATGTCAGCATCAAAGATTTTTGTTTTGTTCTTTCAGTGACATTTATTCACAACTCTCTTCTTTTCCATCCCATTGGGTCAATGAGCTTTGAAGCTGGTGCAATGAAGGACCGCATTCCCATCAGGGTCACCTTGCAGACATGAAAATGACTCTGATGTTCTTTTTCCACCAGCCCCTCACCACCTTTCTTGTTGTTTTCCTCCAAAGGATCTTGAGAAAAGGCTGATGAGAATAATCTACATGCCAGAGACAGAATGAGAAGGAAAAGACGGCGCGGCAAAAAAACTTTGAGATGGGGGGTGATGATGCAAGTCAGTGGCAAGACGCCTGAAACCCCAAGCAAATGATCCAGCAACTGGAATGCAAACCCTTTGCAAGTTCAGGTAGGAAGGTTCACTTGGCAGGGGGATTCCTTGGGGGATGTCAGTGTGTCACAGTGCTTCGAGGCCTTTAACGCTGTTGTCACGTTCTTTACCTGGAGAAATATTTCAGACGTTAAAAGCAATGATCAAGGAAAAGTATTTATCATGCCGACTGGCACATTTCCTCAAGAAAAAAAAACTAAGTGTTATTCTGAAGGTCCTGAAAATGGTTGCCCATTTTGCCTTTATGAAATTTTGTAAAAAACAAAACAAAAAAACAAAAAAATACAGTAAAAGAAAGCATACACCTCATATTCCAATCAGATCAAATGACAACAGCAATGTAATCAGTTTAATTATGTATTTTTTAAAGGTAAGACACAGTTCATGTTTAGTTTGTCAATTTTTAATTCTAATTGAGTATAGATGCAATTTGCTGTGTTTATCTCTTTTCAGTACTTCTCAACTTCCAAGGAATGAGTTGGAGTTTTCTTACAGAATATCAACCAAAAATACATACATTTATTACAGTAAACTGAAATATCCATTTGCATGTCATTGCATGACTTAAGAGTGGTGGAAGATTTTCTGACATTGGTCTTTAGTTTTGGAGATTCTGCACACTCCTCTAGTTCCTCATTTGTTGCCTTGTTGATATGTTTGGAGTCATTGACATGGAAGAAACTCATCCATAACCCATCCACACCATCTTGACTGTTTTGGCCGAGCATCAAAGTAAACTGAAGATTCTGTGGTCCATGGCCCAGTTATTTGGCTTCTTGATCAGGTGCAGATAAACTGTAACCTGAGCTGAATGACAGCCTGAAAACATAATGTTTTCAGTTTTGTTTTAGTCTGCGAATGTTGACTTCCTCAGGTCATACATACATGATATCTCCTCCTCTACATAGTAGGTTGAAGTGATGGATGTTGGTCTCATCTTGCTGTTGTTTTGATCTTGGCCGTGATGATTGGAAGGCAGGAAATGATTCTATGGATTATGTGTGCTTTATACACATAAATACTTAAGTTTAGTAATATCTGTTATTGGTTGATTCATGTCTTTGACTGATATAAAATTATGTTAAATACCGATTGTCTTTTTTTGTAAATTAGTTGATTGCTGTTCATGTGCTTAATCACAAAATGCAACATCTAAAACAATAAAGGTAGCTAACTAAATGGCAAAATAAAGGATTTCCTGTAAAAAAAATAAAAATAAAAATGAAGTTAAAATTGTGCAGACCTTTACTTTTAGTAGGTTTGATTTTCTTCTTAACAAAATCAGTAGGGAAGCTGCTGGTCATCAATAATGCTACTGTCACAGTGACCAAAATCAAGGAAACTGGTCATTTAACACCAGTCATTATATCACTCCAATCATTCCTTGTTTATAAAATGATATTCTATGCCTCATCTGTGAGACATTGAATAGTCTTCAGTCTAAATACATTTCAGAGTTGTTTGTCAGGAGATCCCTCAAGTAATCAGAGATCTGTTCACTCTGTGCTTCAGAACCGAAACTAAAAAGGCAGATGTAGCATGTGCTTTCTTCAATCTGGAACTGAGTCTCTGAAAAGCTCATATGCCTTGCCTTTAACGGAATGAAAAAGTCATTCAGTAAATACTTGCTTTTGCTTTGATACTAGACATATTTCCCTGTAGATTAAAGTTCGAAAGAGTCTAATTTCAGCTGAAAACCTTATCTCATATCTGACGTTTTCTGCAGTGACCAAGTTCATTTTCCAACTGTCTATGCTCCCATCATGTAAACTCAGATTTTCCAGGTGCTCACAAGTCAACTCAGCAACACTTCCACCTCAACTTTGCTTAACTCTTCCTATGACAAAATATATTGAAGAAAACAGCATTGCTGTTGCGAATATGCTTTTGCTTAACTTTTAATTCACATTGTAAAAGGCCTTACAAACGTTCCTAGATTACTGCAGAACAAACTCCTTTTACAAATACAATTTCAGTTACTTAGATATGATATCTAGATATGACTCAGTTTTGCATTTGCAATCATTCATTCCCCAACAGGTTAAACATGCTTTGCAAAAATATCGAAAACATCACTTTGGCAGCAATCTTGTACTTGCAAAATGCTGATTTTCCAGTAATCACAAATTAAGCTTGTTTGTAAAAAAAATTCTGCATTTTGACCATTACAAGCAGTTGTCATCATTTCTGTGTTTCAGTGCTTTTTTTTCCATCAAAGTCCTCTATGATCAAAGAAAACGTTGCTGTGTACTAAAGCCTCAATGTAACACTGGATCATATATTACTGAGGCTTGAGAAGACATGAACAAATGGACAATCATGTTCTGGTGGCTCTGGTAAAGATATACCGTATTTTCCGGACTATAAGTCGCTCTGGAGTACACGTCGCACCAGCAATAAAATGCACAATAAAGCCGGAAAAGCCTCATCTATGAGACATGAGGCTTTTCTTACTTACACTCGCTCCGTAGTATGCTGCATTTTTGAGGAAATTTACTCAATAAAATCCAACACCAAGAACAGACATGTCATCTTGAAAGGCAATTTAATATAAAAATAGAATATAGGCAACAACAAGCTGAATAATTGTATAGTATGCTCATGTTACATGTCAAACAACGAACTGAGATGTTAACATAACATAATAAGAGTTATTCAGATACGATAGCATAAATAACATGCTAACAAGTTTACCAAACCATCCATGTCACTCCAGATCACTAAATCTTCATCTTCGGTGTCGCTTTTAAAAACCTCCGCGAACTCCAGAGGTAGCTTCTATCACATACATTATCAACACAGGCCTAGAGCGCCCTCTTGCGGTTTAGTGTGAAAATAACATGTGATATGATTTAATAATGTGTTCATAATTTCACACATAAGTCGCTTCGAAGTATAAGTCACACCCCGGTCAAACTATGAAAAAAAGTACGACTTATAGTCCGGAAAATATGGCAGTTTTTTTTTTTGGGTTGTTTGTTTGTTTTTTGTTTTTAAATATATGGTTTGTAGATACTCTGGCTTCCTCCCACAGTCCGAAAACATGACTGTCAGGTTAATTGGTCTCTCTAAATTTTCCCTAGGTGTGAGTGTGTGTGTGTGTGTGTGTGTGTGTGTGGTGGGTGGGTGGGTGGGTGGGTGGTGTGTGTGTGTGTGTGTGTGTGTGTGTGTGTGTGTGTGCATGGTTGTTTGTCCCGTCTGTCTCTGTGTTGCCCTGAGACAGACTGGTGACCTTTCCGGGTGACCCCGCCTCTCGCCCGGACCGTTAGCTGGAGAGGCACCAGCACCTCCTGACCCCATTGGGAGAAGGTGTAAGAAAATGGATGGATGGATGGATGGATGGATGGATGGATGGATGGATGGAGGGAGGCAGGGAGGGAGGGAGGGAGGGTTTATAGAAATATTCTTATTTTTAACATTTCAAAGTCTTCGAAAAAAGAAAAATCCAGCCCACAATTTTTTTTTTTAAAGTACATATTTATCTGTTGTGAGGGATGAAGAAAATTACCTGCTGGTCTTCTTTTCATTTCTGGCTTTGAAATCAGTTTTTTATTTTATTTTCTTTAGCTAACTACACGTCATTGTGACAAACAGAATCACATTATTGTCAGATTCACTTGCGCTCCATTATAAGAAGGAGTAAGAAGAAAAAAGCAACATTAAAAAAAAAGAGTCTGCCAACTTGGAAGCAAACTTTCCAACATCTGAAGGAGTTTTATTCAGTGTACAGCTCAATTTTCTTCACATTCATGTTAAATTACAGCCTAGGTACCTAACCTCCTCCTCTTTTCACTCTTGTCACACAATGAACACTAAAAACACAGTGAGCTTCCCTTTTATCTCCTGGCACTTCAAAGAGAATTCATGCAAAATCTAACAGTCCAATTTTACCACCAGAACAGCTCATAGAGTCCTCGTCTTCATCAGAGCGAAGGTGTGTCAAAGCACTGAGGTGGGCGGTAAGTGTAGGTGACACTCGGGGCTGGAACTGTGCAATAATGAAGTCATTTATCAAGTAATTAGTGGACGGAAATAAACATATATGACAGAATCTGTCTCAGTTTAAACATCAACAAAAGAAGTAGCGATTGATTCATCCTGTCAGAAAAAACATTGTGTCCATTTAAAGCTTACTTAAAATGAAGCAAAACAAGAACTCTGAAAACAATATTCCGCTATTTGAAAAGCATCCCCAAAGCAAAGATATTTCTTTCTCTGTGCAATATTCCGCCAGTAGACACAAAGAAATAAAGTCAATAGAAAACATCAACCAAACAACATCAGACCAATTTTAAAGTCTTAAAGGTATTTTGGAATGTATGACTCTTTCACAGCTCTATAAAGCAGGCGGCTTCTGACCTGAGAACTTGTCAGAAACGCTCTTTATTCATAAGTGTGGGAGGACTTCCGATCCTGTGCTCTTTATAAAACTGTTTTATGAAACAGAACAAAAACATGATGAATCTCCTTAAGTGACTATCTTAAAAACAAAACCTTAAAAGCGAAACTTGAATGGAGTAGAAAATAGTTTCATTTGTCTGTTTGATCAAATATGTACTGATAACCATCACTGGTGTTTAACTGCAAAAATGTTTTTCTCATGATTTAGTGTATTTGTGGTTTGGTGATATTAATTTTACAGAATTGAAAAAAATATATTAAAAAATACAAAAAGAGAGGACAGTTTCTTCTCTTCTGTGTTTGTTTTGTTTTCTTTCTCAGATTTAAGTGTAAAGTTAAACTAATTGATATGACTTTTTGTTTCATGTTAACTGTTAATAATAATTTAAGTTGCTTCAAATTCTGTTTTCAGATATTAGTAATGCAGTGCAAATTCGCAAAAATACAATCTATAGCCATGCACAGTATAATAATAATGCCTGATATATTTTAGAAATATAAAATCAAATCAGTCTGCTGCATTTCAATAATACAGACATTCGACTTTAAAAGACATAGTTCCATTTGAATTGCAACTGTAATAAAGTACAATAGAAA